GGAGTCCTGCTGACACCTTTATTCTAGCCTGGTGAGTCCCCTGTCAAACTTCTGTCACATAGAACTATAAGATAAGTTCTGTGGCTTTAAGTTGCTAAGTGTGTAATAATGTGTTTCAGTGACAATAGAAAATGAACACTGAAATAAGATGGCGCAGACCTCTGACGACTGGATTTGGAATGATGGAATCCATTAATGGCCTTTATGTGAGCTGTTTCTGAAAAGTGTTGGGGATGAAAGCCCAGACAAAGGGGTTGAGTCAATGAGAGATGAAAATACGTGATACAGAGTGATAGGTAAAGCCATGAGTTCTGATACAGCATCCAGTCCCCAGAGAAAGTGTACAGGCTGGTGAAAAATAATATTGGGCTCCACCAGCAAGAAATCAGACCACTTCAGCATTGGCAAACAGGTCTACTGCCAACATTTAAGGGGTCTGGGTCGAGGGTACAAATAAATGCTCCTGACCTGTGGCACGCACACTTTCTCTCCCTTCCCTTCATGGACATCCCAGCCCCATTGTTATGGCTCCTGTCCAGGTTCCCAGGGATAGGGACTCCAAATAGACACATTCCCTTGGCCCTCTAGACAACTGGACAAGTGGGTGAACACTGGCTCGAGAAGACCCCCCCGTGGAGCCCTGAGTGGCCCAGAACTCACGGGGTCATGAGAATGGTCATGAAATCTGGGCCATTCAGGGCTTGAGCCCTGGTTCCCTGAGTCTAAGGGATACCCTGCTCTAGGACCTAGTAGTTAATAGCAGTGTCTCCCCTTCTCATGTCAACTTTATAAACAGAGCAGTAGAAAGCTCAGGGCAGCACCTTGTAATCTGCCCCATACAGGTACTGAATTCTTTAAGAGGCAAGTAAAATGAATGGAAGCCTATAAAGAAAACAGGAAGGAAAAGAAAATAAGGAATCAAGCCCACCAGACTGAGAAACTTAAGAACAGCAGCCACATCCCCAGAAGCTGAATCCACAGCACAATGCTTGGAACTTACTCAGTGTATTGGGAATGTTTCTCCTTCCACCCCCAGCTTTACACACGTTTCAAGCAATCTTCCTCATGGGGAAGTACCAAGGAGGAAGATTTCACCATTTCCACCCACCCAGCGAGAGCCTGATCTCCACTAGTCCATTTTCTCAATTGGGTGGGATTAAGGAGTCTCTGTGTGACCCAGGATTTTGGTTCTTGTTCTCTTGGATCTGCATGCCTAAAAAGGGAGTCCATTCTCTTTCTCCACTCCTCCTCCTTGGTGTAAGTTGCCAAGAAGAACACCCACACTGCTCTTGTCCACATTTCTCCAACAAGAAGAGGAATGCCTACAGATACCCAGCTGTGCTACTTCCATTCCAAGAGTGAAGAGATATTAGCCCACTGTCAGTCACAGGTCTGAGCTATAGTTCGTGGTCAGTTTTCGAAAAGCCAATTTTCTAAAAACCAATTCACCAAAGGCCAATTCACTGAATGACTCAGTCTTCAAAACCTCAGTCACTCGAAATTTCATGTGGGTCTCTCCCATATCTTCTGTGCTTCTTCTCCACACATTCCTGCCTTCCTCCACCTTCTTAAACTTGAGATTATTCTTTTAATGCCAATGCCTACTAGTTTCATCATCTGTATTATTTCTGGGTCCATTTTATTGATTTTTTTTTTCCCCTCATCATTATGAGTTATACTATTCTGGCTTTTTGCATGTCTGGTAAATTTCATTGGATGCAAATAATATGAATTTTGTCTTGCTCAACACAGGGTATTTTTTTGTCCCTTTAAATATTTTTGGGCTTTGTTTTAGGGCTCAGGGAAGATATTGGGAAAGAACCTGATCCTTTCAAAGCTTGTCTTTACCCTAAAGCTAGTTGTGGGGATTGTTTTGCCTGATCCTTTCTGGTGGTCTTTCTCTCACTTATATGTGGTTTTCTCATATACATCGCTGTGGCATGGATGTTTGAATCCCCCAAATCCATACACTGAAACCTTAAACTCAACAAGATGGCATTTGAAGGTGAGGTCTTTGGGAGGTAATTAGGGTTAGATGAGATCATGGGGGCGTGGACAGCTCACACGATGGGATTAACACCTTTTTAAAAAGAGGAGGAAATACAGGATCTCTCTTCTATCTACAAGCAGCACCAAGGAAGACCACATACGGGTATGATCAAGAAGAGGGTCCCCTCACCAAGAACTTGACCAGGTACTCTGATCTTGGACTTCCAGCCTCCAGAACTATGCAGAATAAATGTTCATTGTTTAAGCCACCAAGCCTATGGTATTTTGTCACAGCAAAAGATACTAAGATACACATGTACTGATAAGTGCTAGGCAGAGACACTCAAAGGAAACCTTCTGCACGTCTTCAGAGCTCTCTCCATGCAGCTCTTTCCTCTCTGGTGTGCCCCACACATTCTAGCTGCCTTGACCTCTTCAGACACTGACTCTGTGCTCAGGTCAGTGGTCACTCTTGTTGGATGCTCCTCCCTGAACTGCAGCTGAGAAATTCTCTGTCGGCAGGAGGCTTGGGCAATCATATGGTTCACCTTGTTTTCCTTCTCTGTGCTGCCTGTTGACCAATGCCTGAAACTGTTCTTTTATATATTTTGTCTAGTAATTTCATTGTGTTGGGAGGAAGTTAAATCTGGATGCTGGTTGTTTCGTTATGGCCAAGAGCAGATGTTAGTAAACTAAGTCTACACTGTAGCCTCTCAGCACATGCTCCAATATCTGGCAGGGAAAATCTTTTCTCATTTTTCTTCTTTTCAAAACACTCATGGCCATTTGGGTCTCTTTGTCTTTCCTATGAATGTATAACTGGCTTACTAAGCTCCCTTAAAAAGTCCTGCTAAGGAGCACCTGGGTGGCTCAGTCAGTTGAGCATCCAACTCTGGATTTCATCTCAGGTCATGATCTCACCGTTCATGAGACCACACCCTGAATAGGGCTCTGCACTGGGCATGAGGCCTGCTTGGGATTCTCTCTTGCCCTCTATCTTTGCCCCCCACCACTTGTGCTCACTCACCGCCCCCAAAATAAATAAAAAAGAACAACAAAAAAGTCCAGTTAAGATTTGACTTGGGATTGAATTAAATTTATGTATAAATATGAGATATAACTGATACCCTTACATTTACATATACCTTGCCCTTGGATGGGAAAAGATAACATCATAAAATAACATATCTAACCTGCTGGATGCTGTCGACAGACTACAGAAGGAGGATGCATGATATGATTGAAGGGTGCATTTGAAAACCCAATTGAGGGCTCTGGCCAATTCAAGGCTGAGAAGCTAGAAAGAGTGGGAACTCCACTGGATGAAAACATTAAAATTCTCAACATTAGGGAGAAAGCGTGGTCTCTCCTTAGATAGATTGTTAAATGAAAAAAGTTAGAGAGAAGTATATACAGCTCTCTACCATTTAAGAAAGGGGAGATACACAACACACATATACACATACTAGTATATATACACAGGTGCATAAATCTACTTACATTTAAAATTGGAAAGTTAATTAGCCATCACAGCAGTTTTAGATGACTTCCTGTTAGGGGAAGTAGTGAATAAGCAGGCACAGAAGCTGGACTTTTCTGAATACGTCTTGCTTTTAGATTTTACTTTAAAACCATGTATCTATTACATAGTTGCACATCCAATTTAAATTTTTAACAAGCAGTCTCTGAAAACTGAAAGTAACCAAATGAACCCAACTCAACTGAAATCAGGATGGTGGCATAACTATACAGAGAGAACCTACATAAAGTGATTTTTAAAGCACAGTAATTTGATAGCCCATCCCTAGTGAGATATGCCCTAGGGGCAAGAAAAGAATTGCAAAATTTATCTTCAGCTGCTCTCAGAAATCTCATGTTTTGGAGGTAATGTGGAGATGGTTATTTTGAGCTTGTAGTGCGTGCAGAGTGGCGTCAAGTAAACTAATTCTACTGGGATTGTCAACAACCAAAATTTTTTAGTGTGGCCAAAAGGAAAGATCAATTAGTTAAGTAAAAAGGCTGGAGTCTTTAATTGAATTGCAGCTATTAGTAGGGTAGCTGGGTGGCTCAGTCAGTTAGGCATCTGACTTTGGCTCAGGTCATGATATCACGGTGTGTAAGTTCAAGACCCACTTTGGGTGAGCGCTGCTTCTCTCCCTCTCTCTGTCTTAAAAAAATTTTTTTTAATGCTTATTTATTTTTGAGATAGAAAGAGAGAGACACAGAGAGTGAGCAGGGAAGGGGCAGAGAAGGAGACACAGAATCCAAAGCAGGCTCCAGGCTGAGCTGTCAGCACAGAGCCTAACATTGTTGTGCCCAATTCGCGAGTCCCCAGAGACCACCAAGGAGCCGACACTGATGCAAGTACAAAAGGGTCTTTATTACAAGCTCGAGCAGGGGCTCACCGGCCTACCGGTGTAGAGGCAACAAGGTGAAGCCAAGAACAGTAGTGAGCAGGGTTTTTAAGGGGTAAGAGATGGGGATGTCACAGTGCACACGTTGTACATACAGCATCATCACATAAGCACCAATTACAATTGTACAGCACCCATGGTAACAGCTTTGACCATTCAGTATCTGTGAGGTGTTCATTACTTTTGGTGGGACCCAATCATGACTTTTGAGAATCCTTTGAAAATGACCAATTATGAGGTGAGTTCAAAGGGCCTATGTGGGGTTCAGGCAAGCGGTGAGAAATTGGCTAGTTTTATATAAAGTAACTATCTGCAGTTCCCAGCCTTGACTCAGACCACAGGAATGTTTTTTGATTAGCTGATCTGAGGGCGGTCCGAGGATGGCTTTAGCCTTGAGCAATCTGGGGCTACATGCAGCCCGAGGTTGCTCTTAATGGAGGCCCTAATTTCAAAATGATGTTACTTAGGCTCTTCAACGTAAGGCTTGAACCCACAACTTGTGAGGTGATGACCTGAGACTAAGTCAGATGCTTAACCGACTGAGCCTCTCAGGCACCCCATTCTTCTCTCTCTTTCTGCCCTTTGTAGGATTCTCTCTCTCTCTCTCTCTGCCCTCGCTCACTTGCACCCTCTCTCTCTCTCTCAAAACAAAAACTATTAATATAAACTTATGACACGTGTAATCTGATAAATAAACACCATTTTCTACTCTGCCTACTGAAAAAGTCCAGAAACAGTGACTAAGCCGATAATGCCAAGTGCCCAGATGGTGGTCCCACTTCATTTTCCCTAGAAGGCAGCAGTGTCCCTGGGGCTACAGCCAGGACAGGTCCAGGCCTCCTGCATCTGAGCTTCCTTTCCTCTGATATGACCACAAAGATTCCCTTCGCTGTGTGCAAAGGACACACCAGACAGCCTGAAGAGGCTCCCAGAGGCTGCTGAAACAAAATTAATAACTATAATTGAAACCCATCAATATTTTAGGCCCACTGGTTCTTAACAAAAGACACAAACTGGACAAAACTCAGTGGTCACCTTTGGAGGATTCCAGGAAACCGGCTCTTCTGGAATCAATCCTTTATCTTGTTTTCCTACATTACCTGTACTCCAGGTACCCAGGTGGTTGTAAAGGACACGGCATCTTTGTAGAAGAAACTTCTAGAGCTGCTCTAGTTAACAATAAAGAAGGAATGATGGAATTAAAATATCACCCCTGGGAGACCCCTAACAACTCAGTGGAGAGCGGAGTGCTAAGCAGCAAAAAGAGGTACTCAGACACCCTGTGTCTTCTATGCAGAGAATTTGCCAGAAAATTGAACCTGCGTCTGATCAAACTTCTAAAATCTAGCCGCTAACACACAGAAACTACAGGAGACAGAGGAATACATTAAATGGCACCACAGAGGTGCAATGATCAAAATTTGGCATAGGAAGATGCTACTAGACAGTTTATTTTCTTCAATAAGTCGCAGGAATAAATGTGACAGGGGGAGAGTCTACAGACGTAAAATAATTAAAAACCAATTGCCCCCAACACAATTTATGGGTTTATTTTGATCCTGAATCCAACAAGCAAAGTAAATAATCATGAGATAAGTGGAGAAATTTAAACAGTGACTAGATATTTAATTCCATCAAGAAAGTTTTAATTTTTAAGATGTGATAGTACTATTTCTTTAAAGAAATACTGAATTTGTTACAGATTTTAAAAATATCAGTTTTTCCCCTCAATAGACATAACACAATTCCATTTATTATCTCAATATCCTTTTGAAGGGTGGAGGGAGTTGGAGAAAATTATATTGAAATCCATAGGGAAATATAAATGCCTGAATAGCAAAGAAAACTATGAAGAAGATAAATAAAGAGAGAATTGTCTTCAACTGAAAGCCACTACAGTAAAAATCACTGTAATACAACAGACCTGGTATTGGCATAAGAGTAGACAAATCAGTGGAACACAAGAGTGGATCCAAAAATAGATCTCAATATATATCTTAATTTAATATGTGACAAAGGTAGTATTTCAATTCTATGGGAAAGAATGGTTTATTTAATAAACAGTGCTGGCATAACTCGCTGTTCATCTAGAACAAAATGAACTTGTATCCCAATTTCACAAGCCCAAAAATAAATTTCAAGTGGATTAACAACTTAAGTGTAAACAATAAATCTTATAAGAACATTTAGTGACTACATGCAAATCTAGGGGACAGAGAACACCTTTTAACTAAAATCAGAAACATGGAAAGTATAAAAGATAAACATTTGATTATATAAAAGTTAAACTTATATATAATACATAATTATATAATAATATATAAATTATATATATATATTTTATAATATATAAAAGTTAAACTTTTATATGGTGAAAGATACCATAAACAAAATTAAGAGTCAAAATATGCATTTAGAATAATAAGTGCAATGCCGGTAACAGATATAGGGTTAATATTTCTTAAATGAGAGGAATTCTTCTAAAGTGATAAGAAAAAGATAAACCCTTCCAATTTCTAAAAAGGGCAAAAGGTATAAACAGACAATTTACAGAAAAGCAAATCCAAATGGCTAATAAACATATGAAAAGACAGCCAAACTCACCAGCAGTTGAGGAACTGAAAATTAAAATAATAATGAGACATTACTCTACACCCACCAGACTGGCAAAAAGTTAAAAAGAGTGATATTATCTATTGCAATCTCATGCATTGCTTGTGAAAATGTGAATTGTTATTGCCTTTTGAGAAAAGACTATCTAGCAGCATCTATAAAAATAAAGAATCCACATACCCTTTGATCCATGTATTGCACTCCTGTGAATGTAGCTAGTAGAAATAAAAGAACCAGTACAGAAGGCTCTTTGTAAAACTGTGCACTGCAGAATTATAGTGCCAAAAACCTAAAAACAAAGTGGATATCAAAATGGATATTTTGAGCACCTATAAGGAAATAGTGGAATAAACTGTGTGTACCTGTATCACAAAATACTATGTAGTTACTAAGATGGTATAAGAACAACTTCTCCCTCTGAATTAGAAGGCTTTCTACAAGATACTGAGAGAGAAAGGCAAGATGCTGAGAATTGTGTACCATACGGCTCCTAGGGATGACTAGTATATACATATAAATGTGTGTTTATGAGTAAATGCGTATATTTGCACGCAAACTTCGCTGTTGATGATTTCATGAGCCTGGGGGAAAAGCATGGAACATTCTTTTTTTTTTTTTAAGTTTATTTTTGAAAGACAGAGAGACAAAGTGTGGGCAGGGGAAGGGCAGAGAGAGAAGAAGACAAAGAATCTGAAGCAGGCTCTAGGCTATCAGCACAGAGCCTGACGCAGGGCTCGAACTAACGAACTTTGAGATCATGACCTGAGCCTAAGTCGGCTGCTTAACCAACTGAGCCACCCAGGAGCCCCAAAGCATGGAATGTTCTACATAGAGTTGTTAGCAGGGTTTATGCCAGGTGGAGGGTAATGGGATGAGATTTGGGTAGATGTAAGAAGGATAAAAGAAAAAAAAGAGCTGATCTACATTGTTTTTAAGTTTAGTTATTTTGAGAGAGAGAGAGAGAGAGAACACAGTCATGCTCAGGCGCGTAGGCACACACAGGATAGCTGGGGGGAGGAGCAGATAGAGAGGGGAGAGAACCCCACACAGGGCTCGAGCTCACAAAGTGTGATATCATGACCTGAGCAGAAATGAAGAGCCAGGTGCTTAACCAACTGAGCCACCCAGGCATCTTTAAATTTTAATTTAATTTTTTAAAAATATTTATTTTTGAGAGAGGGAAAGACAGAGTGCGAGCGAGGGAAGGGCATAAAGACAGGGAATCTGAAGCAGGGTCTGAAGTAGGTTCCAGGCTCTGAGCTGTCAGCATAGAGCTCGAACTCACCAAGCTCCAACTCACGAGCCACTAGAGCTGAAGTCTGACACTTAACCGACTGAGCTACCTAGGTGGCCCCTAATTTTTTTAAAACTAGCTTTAGATCTAGATCTATCTATCTATCTATCTATCTATCTATCTATCTATCTACCTATCTATCTATTTATCTATCTCTATCTATCTGTACACAAACATTAATGTGTATATACATTATGTATACATATGTGTATAGTGTATATGTGTGCATATACATATATTAAGGGAAAAAAACTAAAGTTGGATCTATATCTACATATTTGCGGGGTGTCCATGAAATGTTGTTAAATTTTAAAAAGCTTGTAATGTGTATGGTATGCTTCAGTTTTGTCAAAACAAAGTGCTTGTAGGCAAACCTTTAAAACTGTGGGCTGTACAAAAGCTTGTAATAGTGAATGAGCCATGAAAAAGATGTAAAGGGATAAATGCCAGGTTGTTAACATTTGTTACCTCAAAGGGGATTGAGATGGGGATGAAATGGTGATTCACTTATTCTTTATATATCACTGTACTATTTTACTTGTTACAATTGGCTGTCTTGCTTTGTAACTTGAGAAATATCAAGCAGAGAAAACAAAGAGAAGCTATATATATATTGGGGCTTCCACCTAGAGAATACTATACTATTCATTCACCACCATATATATTGAGGTCTTCTTTTTCCCTTTAAATAAAGTTTCTTTATATTTTTAGCCTGCTGAGGTTTTTGTTGTTACCATTGTTTTCTTAATCAGGAATGAGGGTTTAAAGCTTATTAAATTTGGGTCACCGGGGTGGCTCAGTCGGTTAAGCGTCTGACATCAGCTCAGGTCATGATCTCATGGTTTGTGGGCTCGAGCCCTGCATTGGGCTCTGTGCTGACAGCTAGCTCAGAGCCGGGAGCCTGTTTCAGATTCTGTGTCTCCCCTTCTCTGACCTTCCCCTGCTCACGCTGTCTTTCTTTCTCTCTCAGAATAAATAAAACATTAAACATTTTTTTAAAAAAAAATAAAGCTTATTGAATCTTTTGTGGCATCTGTTGAGATCATCAGTTTTTTTCTCCTTCAATCAATTAATGTCATTTTTCTCTTCCGTATCTATACTGTCCCATGTAGTGATCTTATTCACTCTCATGGCTTTAAACATGCCAACGACCTCAACATAGATCTCTCCAGCCCAGACCTCGCTTCCATACTCCAGATGCTGGAGAACTGCCTATTGCCGTCTCCACTTCAATGTCTAATTGATATCTCAAATTCAACACTTTCAAAATGGAACTCATGACCACCTTTTCCTTTCTCAGATTCCACATAGCCTTCTCTACCTGTAGTTATCCCCATCTCAGTTGAGGTCAATCTCATCCAACCAGCAGCTCCAGCCAGAAAATGTGGATCATTGATAACTTTTCTCTTTCTCCCGCAATCTACACCCAATGCATCAGGAAATCCTGTTATACCTTCAAAATGTATTCAGAAACAGGGCATCTGAGTGGCTCAGTTGGTTGTGTCCAACTCTTGATTTTCATTCAGGTCATGATCTCAGTGTTCATAGTTTGAGCCCTACATAAGACTCCACGCTGACAGTGTGGAGCCTGCTTGGGATTCTCTCGCTCCCTCTCTCTTTGCCCCTCCCCTTGCTCACTCACACTTGCTTGCACACTCTCTTTCTCTCAAAATAAATAAATAAACTTTTAAAAAAGAATTCTCTTCCTCCCCTATACTCTTCTACCTGACACTGCTCCCATTTTATTTAGATTAAAACGCAAGGTCCATAAAAAGGGTGCACAATCCAGCTGCCTGTGACATCTCAACTTGATCTTTTTCTACTCTCCTCCTTACTTACTCTCCTTAGACATTCAGCTTCCTTGAAGGTCTTAGACCATGACAAGCACACCACTCCCATCCTGGGGCCTTCACACTCACTGTTCCCTCTGCTTTGAATGCCCTTCCCCTAGATAGCTTCTTGGCTAACTCTCTAGTCCTTCTCAAAGAGGTCTACCCTGACCACCTTATTCAATATGTTTGCCTCCATCAACTTTTTCATTTCCATGGAGTTCATCCTTACCTGGCATGCTGAAATATTTGTTAGGTTTATCTTTTATTGTCTGTGTCATCCCACTAGAACATACGCTCCAAGAGGACAAGAATCTTGTTTTGTTCACTGATGGACCCAAATGCCTAGAACAGTGCTTGGCACATAACAGATACTTAACTTGTAATTGGTGAATAGAAGAATGAATTAGTGATTTGCATTAGCTCTGAGCATAAAACTCCCCAAAACCAGTCCTCCTAATGCTCCAGTTCCTATCCTGCATGTGTTTTGAACTGTGATATTCTACTGGATTTATTTTATTTTAAATATAACTCCTTTTGGGGCATTTGGGTGGCTCAGTGGTTAAGCATCTGACTTTGGCTCAGGTCATGATCTGACAAGTCATGGGTTTGAGCCTCCCTTGAGCTCTGTGCTGGTGGTACAGAGCATGTTTGGAATTCTCTCTCTGTCTCTCTGCCCCATCTCCACTTGCACTATCTCTCTCTCTCTCTCTCTCAAAATAAGTAAACTTTTAAAAAATTTTAAAAATATAGCTTCTTTTGCTTTTTTCCTTCTAGAAATAATTCCAAATTTGTGGCTCATTAAGGAAGCTTCCTATTATTTCCCCACATGGCTATAGATTTATTCTTCTTACAAGTCCCTCTACAGTGACTTCATAGAATTTGGTGAGGAAGGAAAGGCAGATATGTGTGCTCCCTCCCTCCATCCTTGACCTCAGAGAATTGGTAGTTTGTTAGGATGAGTCAGTCTCTCCGAGTCTGAGTAAATGTGATAGACGTGAGTTACTGGTGACCCACCAACACAATGTAAAGCCTTGTGAGGCCTGGCTTGGCCACCAGCGGGAGTCTTCTAGTACCTCCTGCTCCAGCCCCTGAAATGTAACATTGCTGTCATTAACCAGATCTTATAAAGTATTTTTTTCAACTCAGAGAGGAAATGAATTGCATAAATGCTAGATAATAAAAATGAGGTTCTAATGCCTGACACCACATCTCCTTCCTACTAATCAGCTCAATCTTAAAATTAAAGATACTCATCCACAACCTTAGGGAACTCATTGAAAATCTTATGCAGCTGGAAAAACTTCTCAATCTCCTTTTGCCATGGCTCTACGAGTCAATTAAAGACTTTTCAAAATGTAAAATATACATCTTTATGTCTGTTTTCAATATCACTAAAGACCAGATTTTGACCATTGATTTATATGCTGAATATGCCTGCCCTTCAAAAAGAAATTTGGTTAATTTGAGAGTTTGGGAATGTGCTAAACTATTTATATCTAACTTTCCCACCAGCGTAGCATTTCTAAACCACAGAAAAACATACTTTTTGGTCCTTTGTTTAAAAAAAATTATATTCTCAATGCTTTTGATTCTTTGCTTTTATGTAATTTCATGACTCTGTTGGATTTGAGGGGACTGTGAGCCAAACAGGAATTAATACAGATCATAAAAATCACAAAGCTGTGACCAAAATTACTATTTTTAAAGGATGTGACTTGATTAGGGTGCCTGGGTGGCTCAGTTGGTGAAGTGTCCAACTTTGGCTCTGGTCATGATCTCGTGGTTCATGGGTTTGGGCCTCATGTCGGGCTCTGCGCTGACAGCTCAGACCTTGGAGCCTGCTTCAGATTCTTTTTTCTTTTTTAATGTTTTATTTATTTCTGAGAGAGAGAGAGAAAGAGAGAGATAGAGAGACAGTGTGAACAGGGGAGGGTCAGAGAGAGAGGGAGACACAGAATTCAAAACAGTCTCCAGGTTCTGAGCTAGCTGTCAGCACAGAGCCCTATGTGGGGCTTGAATCCATGAACCATGAGATCATGACCTGAGCCGAAGTCGGACACTTAACTGACTGAGCCACCCAGGCACCCCCAGATTCTGTGTCTCCCTCTCTCTCAGTCCCTCCCCCACTCTTATTCTCTCTCTCTCTCTCTCAAAAATAAATAAAACATTAAAAAATATTTTTAAAAAAAGAATGTGACTTGATCTTTAACTACTAAAATGAGACAATATTGAGAAGAGACTTTGAGCTATCAGTTGAATCAGCATCCCACCAGTCAACACCCATCTATCAACTAGATAAACCAGTTTTTCTAGATCTTTATGTACAAACTGATAGAGGGACATGCTCCTGGCCTTCTGGTAACCCCCCACCTTTCCCTTACCTTCCCCAAGCTTCTCCAAGTAAGAACTCCAGCTTGTAAATCATTGGTATAAATGATTTTCATTATCTTGGGAAAAACCTATGAAAATGAAGGTCCTCATCTTGTTTGGGATTTTATTTCATTGTTCTAGCAGGTAAATTCTGCCTTGTGTTCATCCAAAATGTATCTATATCACTGTAAACTCATTTTCTCTCAAACAAAATTATTGGACATGGAAAATCATTGCTCACAACCTCTGTATTATTCTTGGAGACAATGCACAAGTTCTCTTTTTGGTCTGTTCTATTTAAATTTTTACTTGGGAAAAAACAGAAAACTACTTTTCATTTCTCATCATTTTTGGATGCTATTCAGCAATTCCATGTGATTATTAAAACGTGGTGGCCACAATGAGACCCCATTTACAAGATCTTTGCAGAAATGGTAGCTTTTGAAAGACTGAAACAATAGGAAAAATTAAACGGGAAATGATAGATTCAACAGTCTTCAATTTTTGGGTTTTTTTATCGTGAAAAATAATAAAGCTGTTGTGGAAAGTATTTGCACCACATAGAATGGTTAAAAATTCATCTCTCTACGATCTGAAGAACTCACTCATATTGATGAAAATCTGCTCATATGTAAGATCTCATTTTTAACAAATTGCATTTTAATGAATTCTATTCATTATTTTGTTATTTTTAACTAAAACAATCTTTTTGAGCAACACCACAACTCTAGTAGATACATGAATGGACAACACACTATTGGCAAATGCTCACTTTTCCTCAATTATCTACTTGACATGTCATGGCTTGGAAGTCCCCAAAAACTCCCATAGAAAGTAAGCTTCTCTTCCAACTCTGTGATTCTGTATTCTATAGCACACTGTACTGCCTTTGTCATACAATCACTGCATTAATCTGCAATTACTCATATAATTAATAGTATTAGAAATGGCTACCTGATAAGTCATCAGAGCTGAGACTGCTTCATTGCTTCATTATCTTTTCATTATGTAACATGGTGTGCGGTGCATGCAGTAGGTGCTTCATAATTGTTGATTGAATGAATGAGGTTCCTTGTAAAATAAATGTGAATAATAATTATAGAATTATAGAAAACATCTCGCTCCCCAAGCTCTTAATCAGGGGTATGCAACATAATGCACTATCATCATTATTTTTAAATATATATATTTTTTAAAAAATTATTTTTTTTAAGTTTGTTTCTTTTGAGAGAGAGACATAGAGAGAGGCAGAGAGAGAGAGAGAGAGAGAGTGAGCATGAGCAGGGCAGGGGCTGAGAGAGAGGGAGAGAGAGAATCGTAAGCAAACTCCATGCTGTCACTATGCTGACATCGGGCTAGAACTCACAAATGATGAGATCATGACCTGAGTTGAAATCAAGAGTCTGATGCTTAACGACTGAGCCACCCAGGCGCCCAGGCAATATTATTTTGTACAAGAAGACTTTATTTTTTTAAATATTTATTTATTTTTCATTTTTTAAACATCTGTGTTCATTTTTGAGAGACAAAGAGAGACAGAGCATGAGTGGGGGAGGGGCAGAGAGAGAGAGAGAGAGAGAGAGACAAGATCTGAAACAGGTTCCCCCTCTGAGCTGTCAGCAAAGAGCCCAACACAGGACTCAAACTCACAAACAGTAAGATCATGACCTGAGCCAACGTCAGATGCTTAACCTACTGAGCCACCAAGGCTCCCCTAATCATTTATGTATTTATGTATTTATGTATTTATTTATTTATTTTTGAGAGACAGAGAGAACCAGAGCACGAGCAGGGGACATAAGAGAGAGGGGGAGACAGAATCCCAAGCAGGCTCCAGGCTCTGAGCTGTCAGCACAGAGCCCAATGCAGAGCTCGAACCCATGAATTGTGAGATCATGACCTGAGCTGAAGTCGAACACCTAACCGACTGAGCTACCCAGGCGCCCCATTATTTATTTATATTTGAGAGCAAAAGCTGGGGAGGAGCACGGAGAGAGGGACAGAGGATCCTAAGCAGGTTCTGCGTTGACAGTAGGAAGCCCAATGTGGGGCTTGAACTCACAAACCACAAGATCATGACCTGAGCTGAAATCATATACTCAGCCAGCTGAGCCACCCTGGTGCCTAAGAAGACTTTAACACATTGATGGACATGTGTTCTCTTTGCCTAGGAACTAAAAAGATATGAAGATTATTAGAAAGATATTAAAAGATATGAATTCTCCTGAAGTGAATTTATAAATTTAGTGTGATGCCAGTCAGAATGCAGGGTCTTTAAAAATTTGATGCAATTATTCTAATGTTCATTTAGAAAAACAAACAAGAGAAGAGTCGGGAAAAAAACTGCAGATCAAAAGAAATAAAGCAAAGAAATAGTCCTATCAAATATTTAAATTTTCGTTAAATTCCAGTGATTCGCATACTATAAACTGATATGGAAAAGATTCTACTAAGTAAGCAGAATCGTAAACTGGGGAAGAATTGGAAATTCATAAATGATTGGAAGTATATATAAACATGATTATATTGTAAAGCTATCCTCTCAAAAACAGTGGTGTAAGATGGCCAATCCAATAAACTATGTTTCAAAAAATGGAAGGCCTTTTGACAAAGGTTGTCTGAATCTCTACATTATCTCTTTCAAAAGGAAATTCAATGGCGTAAACTCTCAAAAACAAAAATGCCATAAGAACAAAAGCCCTGGAAGAAAACATGAGTAAACTTAAAAAAAAAAAAAAAAGTTTATATGGGGAAGGCTGTGCTAAACCCGACACATTAAAAAAACCATTAGGGATAAAATTGATTATTTAAATAGTTTTTTTAATCCTGAAGTTTCCATGCGGCAAGAAACGGCCCACAAAAACAAATCAACAACAGCAGAAAACCTTCCAAAGATAAAATAAAGAAACAAACAGGAGACAGAAAGAATCCTACATGACACAGGAGGGATTAACCTCTTCAGTATGCAGAGAGCTCACACTGATCCATATGGAGAAAATTAATGATCCAATAGAAAGATGGGCAAGGGATAAGAACATAAAAGTCATAGGAAAGCAGTAAATGGCTAATAAACCTGTAAAAAGATAATAAAAGAGTATCAAAAGAAAGCAATGATGTTCCATTTCTTACCTTTCAGATTAGCAAAAAACAGGTTTTAAATTGAAGGCATTCAGTGTTGGTAACGGAGAGGGCGAATAGATGCTCCCAAAATACTGGTGAAGGATGAAAAGATATATGATATATTGTAATGGCAATTTGGCAATATTAATAAAAACATCAAATAAAAACAAACAAGTAAAAATTGGTGTGCATGGGTGGTTCAGTCAGTTAAGTGTCTGACTCTAGATTTTGGCTCAGGTCACGATCTCATGGTTCATGAGTTCGAGCCCTGCATCGGGCTCTGTGCTGCTTGAGATAACTTCTCTCCCTCTCTCTGACCCTCCCCAGCTCTCTTTCTCTGTCTCTCTCCTAAAGTAAATAAATAAACATAAAAAAAAAAGGCATGCAAAAATATATTTAGGGATTTTTGTTGTCGTAGCATTGTTTGAAACAATACTGCCAGATATAACCTGAATGTTCTCAATAGGGAAGAGATTCACCAAATTCTGACATAGCTATGCCATGGATTTCCATGCAGTTCAGATAGAATGTGCTAGAATAGGAACATATAGAAATGTGTTAGTTATATCATTAACTGAAAAGAGAAGCAAATCCAGAAGAGTAGTAGCATACTACCCCATTTGTTTCTTAAAGTTCATGAATAGCATATATACTTTTTTAAATTTTTATTTATTTCTGAGAGAGAGAGACAGCGTGAGCTGGGGAGGGGCAGAGAGAGAGGGAGACACAGAATCCGAAATAGGCTCCAGGCTCTGAGCTAGTTGTCAGCACGGAGCCCGACTGCGGGGCTCGAACCCACAAACCGTGAGATCACGACCTGAGCCGAAGTCGGACACTTAACAGACTGAGCCACCCAGGCGCCCCAAATGTAGAGCATGTATACTTTGCATGCATTTATATCAAAACTATCTGGGAGGATACATTATTAACAAGGCCTACTTGTGGAAACAGGATTGAGAGGAGAAAGATATGAGAGACTTTTACATTTTACTTTACACTCTTATTTTTTACGAGCATGCAGTATTTTTGTAGTCAAATTTAAAAACATTGTAAAATAATGCTCGTGTTTTACATAGCAGTCATTAGCAGCAATGACAGTCTGGCAACACATGATGAGCCGCAGAGGTGGGGCTGGGATGAGGCAAAGGACACACTTTTCCTGAGGGCACAATTTAAGGGGATAGCAAAACACTCAGTCATCAAGATAAGAGACATTTTAATGCAACATTTTAAAAAGATCAAATTTAATGCAAAAAAAATCTATTGGTTAACAGAATGTCAAAAATTTAAATGAAGTCCTTACAATTGCATGAGTGGCCTTACTCACCTCCTTACTCGAATCTTGGTCCCTTTGGATACTGTCTTTATAGAAAATATTGCTATTTTATGAATGTTTATTTAATTTTGAGAGACAGAGCGTGAACGGGGGAAAGGCAGAGAGAGACAGTGAGAGACGCAGAATCTGAAGCAGGCTCCAGGCGCTGAGCTGTCAGCACAGAGCCCAATACAGGCTCCAACCCATAAACCATGAGATCATGACCTGAGCTGAAGTCAGATGTTTAACTTACTGAGCCGCCCAGGCGCCCCTAAAATCTTTTTTTTGGAAATAATTATGCATTCACAGGAAATTGCAAAGGTTACACAGTAGTATCTCCTTATCTGTAGTTTCACTTTCCATGTTTTCAGTTACCTGCAGTCAAATGCCGTTTGGAAGCAGAGATGGTCCTCCTTCTAACGTATCATCAGAAGGTCAACAGTAAGGGGTGCCTGGGTGGCTCAGTCGGTTGAACCTCAGATTCTTGATTATGGCTCAGATCATGTTCTCAAGGTTGTGGGATGGAGCTCCCTGTCGGCTCCATGCTGGGCGTGGAGCATAGTTAAGATTCTTTCTCTCCCTTTGTCCCTTCCCTGCTTGCGCTCTCTAAACAAACAGACAAACAAAACCACAGAAAACAAAGCAAAACAAAAATGAAAACAAAACAGTCAATAGTAGTAGTAGCCTAGCCCACCCAGAGATGCACACCCCCAAAGTCAATATCGGTCTAATGCTACATCACATGCCTACATTGTTCACCTCACTTGATCTCATCACAGAGATATTTTATCACCTGACATTGTCATTAGATGGCAAGGGAGTAGACTACAATAAGATAATAAGATATTTTGAGAAAGACCATAGTCACATGACTTTTATTACGGTATAATGATGCCATTTTATTATTAGTTATTATTAATCTTTTACTATGCCTAATTTATAAATTACACTTTATCACAGGTCTGTATGTAAAGGAAGAGTCATAGTATATACAGGATTTGGTACTGTTGACAGTTTCAGGCATCCACCCCGAGGTCTTAGAACATATCCCTGTGGATAAAGGGCGACTACTCTGCAGAGAGGTCCTATGTATTCTTGACCTCGTCTCCTTCAACAGTAACATTTTATATAACCATAGTATAATGTCAGAACCAGAGATCTGACGTGGTGTAATGTGCGTGTGTAGTTTTGTGTTAGTTAATAATGTATAGGCGCCCCTGGGTGGCTCAGATTGTTCAGCGTCCAACTTCACCTCATGTCATGATCTCACAGGTTCGTGGGTTGAGCCCCATTTCAGCCTCTGTGCTGACAGCCCAGAGCCTGGAGCCTGCTTTAGATTCGGTGTCTCCCTCTCTCTCTCTACCCCTGCCCCACTCATACTCCCTCTCTCTCTCTCTCTCAAAAATAAATAAACATTGGGGCGCCTGGGTGGCTTAGTCGGTTAAGCGTCCGACTTTCGCTTGGGTCATGATCTCGCGGTTCGTGGGTTCGGGCCCCGCGTCGGGCTCTGTGCTGACTGCCAGCTCAGAGCCTGGAGCCTGTTTCAGTCTGTGACTCCCTCTCTCTCTGACCCTCCCCTGCTCATGCTGTCTCTCTCTCTCTCTCTCCTAGAAATAAATAAAACATTTAAAAAAATAAAAATAAAAAAACCCAAAATTATGTGTAGATTCATGTAACCACATGATCAAGATGCAGAATGAATGAATCTATTCTCTCAGCGATCTTTTTTGTGTTACCCTTTTGGGTCACACTCATCCCTTCCTTTCCCCCTCCCTAACCCCTGGCAAAACCAACCTGATTCCCCACATCTATGATATTGTCATTTTAAGAATGATATGTAAGTGGACTCACAGGGTATGTGACTTCTTGAGTCTGGCTTTTTTTTCACTCAGCATCATGACCTTTGAAAATCTCTCCCAACTGCTGCAAGCATCAATAGTTCGCTTACTTTTATTGCTGAGTCCTCTACAGTATGGATGAACCAGAAATTGTTCAACTATTCACCGATCGAAGGACAGTTTGGGTGTTTCCAGTTTGGAGCTATTCCAAATCGTGCTCCTATGAAAAATCACGTGCACACTTCCATGCAGGTTTAAGTTTTCATTTCTCTAGCATAAAAGCCCCAGAGTGCAAATGCTGTTATATTCTAAGTGTATGTTTAGTTTAGCTCTTTAAGAAAGTGGCAAACTATTTTCCAGAGGTCGCTGTACGATTTTAGATCCCCACCAGCGATGCGCAAGGGACGCAGGTTCTCTACAGCCTCCTCAGCACTTGGTATTTGTTATAGATTGAACTATGTTGTCCCCCAGATTCATGTGCTAAAGTCCTAACCCCAGTACATCAAAATGTTACTGTATTTGTAGATACAGTCTTTTGAGAGCTAATTAAGGTTAATGAGATTGGGGTGGGCTTGAATCCAATATGACTGGAGTTGATTTGGACACAGGCAACCACAGAGGGAAGACCATGGGAAGGCCCGGGGAGAAGACGGCCATCGAAAAGCCATGGAGACAGGCCTCAGGATGAAATCAACCATGCCAACTCCTCCCTCTGGCACTTCTGGGCTCAGAACTGTGAGAAATAACTTGCAGTTGATTTAAGCCCCCCGGTCTGTGGTATTTGTTATGGCAGCCCTAGTAAATTAATACTGTACTGTCACTATTTTTTATTTTAGTTGTTCTGACAGATGTGGGGTAATATCTCATTGTATACTATTATGCTGCATTTCCCTAATGGTTAGTGATGTTGGAATTCTACTCATATGCTTATTTGCCACTTTTATGGCCATTTTGGTCAAATGTCTCTGCATGTCTTTTGCCCACTTTCTAATCAGATTGCTGGTTGACTTTTAAGTGTTCTCTGGATATTAGAGGAATGAGACCTTGGTTGTTTTGCAAATAGTTCTTCCCAGTCTGTAGCTTGCTTTTAATAGGGACTTTCACAGAACAAAGTTTTAATTTACCAAGTCCACCTTAACCATTTTTTCTTTTATGAGTAGTGCTTTTGGTGATATGTCTAAGACCTTCAGCCCTAGGTCCTGAATATTTTTCCTACATTATCTTTTAAAACTTTTTATAGTTTTTATATTTTACATATACATATTAACTCATTTGAGTTAATTTTTGTATAAGGTTTAAGGTTTAAGTCAAGTTTCCTTTTTGTTTTTTGAGTTTCATTTTGTTTTGGTTTTTGCCTATGGATACTAATTGCTCCCGCACCATTTATCGGAAATACTATCCTTCCTCTACTGAATTGCATTTGACCTTTATAAAAAGTAAGTTGGCTGTACTTGTACAGAGCTATTTCTGGGTCCTCTAAATTGTTCCCCTGATCTATGTGTCTATCTCTCTGCTAATACCGCACAACCTTAATTACTATAGCTATATAGTAAGTCTTGAAATCAGGTAGAGTGACTCCTTCCATTTTATTCTTTTTCAGAAAGGTTTTAGCTATCCTACTTTCTTTGCTTTTCTATATAAATTTTATAATTATCTTGTCTGTAGCTACAAAAAATCTTGCTGGGATTTTGACAGGAATTACATTAAGGCTGTATATCAGTTTCTAGAGAATTGACATCTTTAATTTTTTTAATGTTTTTTTATTTTTGGGAAAGAGAGAGAGACAAAGAGACAGAGAGAGAGAGAGACAGAGTGTGAGTGATGGAGTAGCTGAGAGAGAGGGAGACACAGAGTCCGAAGCAGGCTCCACGCTCTGAGCTGTCAGCACAGAGCCTGACGTGGGGTTTGAACTCATGAACTATGACGTTATGACCTGAGATGAAGTCAGACACTTAACTGACTGAGCCATCCAGGGCCTCTGAGAACTGACATCTTTGATATACTGAGTCTTTCAATCTATGTAAGTGGTATTGTATTTTTAATTTTGCCTTCCACATATTTATTGCTAATATGTATACAATTACTAATATGCACACTAGTAGACAACTGATTTTGTTTGTTGACCTGGTATTCTGCAACCTTGCTAAAGTTTCTTATTCATTATAGGAGTTTTGTTTTTTTAAATAGAATCCTTGTAATTTTTTAATGTAGATCAGTGTGTCATCTACAAGCAGGTTGTTTTATTTTTCCCTTTCCAATTGTATCCTTTAAAAAAATGTCCTTTTCTTCCTTTGTTACTCTGGCCAGAACATCCAGTACTGTTGATAGCAGTGGTTAAGAGTGGACGACACTTCCTGATCTCAGGCCAAAAGCAGTCAGTCTTTCAAATGAAGTTTGATGTTAGCTGTGGTTCTATAGATGAACTTGTGGAAGTTCTCCTATAGTTTTAATTTTCTGAGAGTTTTTATCATGAAAGGGTAGTAAATTACGTTGAGTGTTTCTTCTGCCTCAGTCGATATGATCATGTGATTTTTCTCCCTTAGCCAGTTAATATGGTGGATCACATTGATTAATTTATGAATATTGCATTCTTAAGAAATAAAAACGAATTTAAAAAGGGAATTTTCTGTCCAAAGTCTAAATCCCTGGATTCATATATGTTTTGTATTTTATCTTCTTTGTCTCCAATAATATACATTTCTTTTGTCCGTCTGTGCTCTGGTCCCACACCCAGAGTTCAAGAATATGGTGAAGAATATGGGAATACAAGGAAATGAAACCCAGAGGTGTCACTTCCCTCATCCATTTGCATAGCTACTTACTTGGCTTTCATGATCTATCCCCTGGAGTACTGGAACAGCCTCCATTGGCCTCCCTGCTTGCTTCCAGCCTAGTTCTCTTCCCATTCATTTTCTCTGCAGCTATCTATCACAGTTGTTGTTGTTAACACATACATTTAATCATGGGACTTGCCTATTTAAATCTTTTTGTGAATATTTTGAGTGTAGAGGATAAAATGAAACACAAGCCCCTTCATATGGGCCTCACTCCAGCCAGTGTACTTTTTCTGTCACTATACTAAAATCTAGCCACTGAACTACTCAGTTTCCTGAATAAGCCAAATATCTTGGCTTCATTCATGTTATTTTCCTTTAATTTTCTTTTCTTTTCTTTTAAGTTTATTGATTTATTTTGAGAGAGAGAGAGAGAGTGTTATGAGTGAGCACGAGTAGGGGAGAGGCAGAGAGAGAGAGAGAGAGAGAAAGAATCCCAAGCAGGCTCTGCACTGTCATTGCAGAACCCAGTGTGGGACTTGAACCCTCGAACTATGAGATCATGACCTGAGCCAAAATCAAGAGTCAGATGCCTAACTGACTGAGCCACCCAGGTCCCCCATTTTCCTCTAATTTTAACTCTTGTGACAAAAATTTATCTATCTTTAAAGACAAAATTTAGAAAATGGGGCACTTTGGCTCAGGTCATAATCTCACAGTTCATAGGTTTAAGCCCCACGTTGGGCTCTGTGCTGACAGCTCGGAGCCTGGAGCCTGCTTTGGATTCTGTCTCTCTCTCTCCCTGCCCCCCACTCATGCTCTGTTTCTCTCTCTCTCTCACAAAAATAAACATTAAAAAATTATTTTTCAAAGAAAGTTTTAAAA